AAACAGAGTTTGGAAGAAGAGGGTGGTAGACTCTAAATCCCAGAATTCCCCCAGGCATATGGCTACTAGAATAAGGGTGGTGACATATGTGAGTTGTAGTCCCAATTTTTACTTGTAGTAAGATGATTCTCAGGTAATAGGATGCTGCAAGATGCTTCTCAAATGATAAGCATCATCATTGAGCTGCTCATTCTGGGGTGCCTTCAGTGTGCCTTTACAGTCATTCCTCTCAAAATGAACCATAAAAACAAGAACAACAAAACAAAAATAAAATATTGTGCCACTTTAAAGCTGACAAATTTACTACAGTATGAATTTATGTGGATTACAGTCCATTTCCTTTAGATACAAGGAGTACATCATTATTTAAAGGTACCAAATATGCTGTTTTTTTCCTTGTTTTGTTATGACATTGTTTTTTTACATGTGCTAAAACACATTAATACAGCTATCATTTTGATGTTTTTATTAAAGTAATTTTCAAGTGGTGCCACAAAAGGTAGAAGAGGAGGAGGAGGAGGAAGAAAGACCCCAAAGTGAATTTTGCTTGTTATCTTTGTCTAAGAAAAGACTATCATATCAGACATTTTTTCCATTTAATCCTACTTTGTCTCTCTGGCATGTACATATCAAGAATTCTGCCCATTAGGGAGAATGTCTTCCTAAACTTAAAATATTTCTGTTGACTTTTTTCTTGAGGCATGTATGTTTTCTCACTGTTTGCTTCCAGGACTATAACTACTTCTGAGTTGCGGGAATTAAAGCTGAGTATTATCGTATTTTTTGTGTATAAGATACCCCAATGTATAAGACACCCACCCACCACAGTTTTCTAACCCAAAATTAAGAAATCTTAACTTAGCTTTGAGTATTTGGGCTCTGGGCTCAGTACACTTGGACATTATGAGTCCCTGTTGCATCTGAGCCTACAGGCTCCACCTCCAATGAGGTGTGTTCCAACTGGTTTGTTCAGCATCAGCTGACATCAGTTCCATAAGGCTCGTGACTGGAGAAAGCTAAGTCTCCTGACTGTAGGAAGCTAAGCCTCGTGATTGAAAGAGGCCTGTTTACAGAAGCAAGGTACAGGCAGTTTTGTTCTCTCATCAGCTTACTTCCATGTACAAGATGCCCCACAATTTTTAGTGTAATGATTTTAGGAAAAATTATCATCTTATACACAGAGAAACACTTAAGCCAAAGTCTCATATAATACAGTTTTATTTTAGGACATTTACCTGTGTATCAATCTCGTATCTTTAATATTGTTTAGAAATCCTCTGGGTTTTTCCAGGAATCAGTAGTTAACAGAATTCATGTATTGGGTACCAGTGTGGTGCAACAGACTGAATCATGAACCCAAGTCAGGAAGAAAATCAGATTAGGTTTTCTAACGTTGTTGTTGTCATGTGCCATCAACTCATTTCTGACTTATGGCCACTCTATGAATACATGATCTCCAAAAATTCCTGTCATCAACAGTCTCTCTCACTTCATTAGAGAGTCTCTAATGTTACAATAGAATAACTGACATTCACAACATCTGGCATTCTTCAAGAATGACCGGCTGAAAACAAAAATCTAAACATTCACAGTATTTATATATTACTGTGACAGTCTAAACACCAAAAGACATCATGAATGCATTCCATGATATGGTTTTAATTAACTAATAAATGAAGTGATTAAATACTGGTGATGCTCTTCCCCAAATATCATCTTTTCCAGTGTTCATAAAAGGGCTCCTAAGGAACACAGAACTCTGATCAAAAAGAGGTTTCTCTGTTTTATTTTTTATACAACCATGTTTCAGGTGAGGGCATAGAGCTCCAACCCATATTAAAATAAAGGGGGAAATACTGTACCTGCTCATGAAAAACAGTGTCTTCCGGTTTGGCACTATTTGTAAGAATATCTATAGCTCCCAACAGCAATAGATGATGATGTTAAAAAAAAAAAAGACAGTTCATATGAAGAATAATAAAAATACTATGTGGCATTGTTTGGAAGACAACTGGTATTTCATGGAACATAACTGAACACCCTTAGAACAGGATCTCCAGTATGCTGACACAGAAAGAATACTGCAACTATCACTGGCATGAATCCAATGAGGTGCAGAAAATCTGTTGAGAAAATAAGATAATTGAACATGGAACAAATGGAATTTAGCAGAGCCAGTGTAGTAGAATAATTAATACTAAGTCAAACATGTAGAGGGAAAACTGTCTCTGCATATGTATATGTTACTGCAGAACACAGAAATATAGTTTTGGGCATTAAACCCAACCGTAAAAAATCACTAAAAGTCCAGTAGCCAGCTTTCTAAAAATGTGTGGTCTAATATTTTAGAATAAGAAAATATAGACTTTTCTCACTTCTTTTTATCCCTCTCTCACATTCTCAATCTGCTGTCAAACGCATTAAAAACACAATCCTACACATGATTTCTCTAGACTTTTCAACCTCTCTTTTCACTTTCAATGTATTTCTGGTTGCTCAACAATGCAATCCTATATGTTGCTCCTCAGAAGTCTCTCCTCTGCTTCGTGACAAGCATAATTAGGATTACAGAAGTAATAAAAGTAACATATCAGATACCTCTCAAAATGTAGTGGCTAGAACTTAACACAGTAAGCCAGCAGAAATATAAGAATTGCACAGAATATAATGGACAAGTTACAAATACAATGCCGCCTGAGTCCAATTTCTAGAAAGACATGGAATAAACTAAAACCCATTAAAAAAACAATCGTTACCCAATGGTTTTAAAAATGTGCATTGCAGGGGCATCTTTTCTTGCTATGACTCAATATGAAAGGAACTCAGTTTTGGTGTTGAAACATGAGTCTACAATTAATCTCTTATGACTCAACACCATTTACTATAGCTGTTTTTTAATTTACTCTTCTTGCAACAAAATATGGATTAGCTTATTGAAAAGACCCTCTCAGTGGCAGTACCCGGACAGAGAATGTTTTCTGTAAGCACCTGCAATGATATAATTTTAGGGCCACACAAAGAGATTCTTCCTTCCACAAACATAGTCAACAATCTTTCATTCTGCCTGTCTGTTTGTTTGTTTTTTAATCTTCTATTTCTTAGAACACTCTTCCTAGGTATTGTCTTAATTAATTCTTAGTATTTTGTGATGTGGCAGTACCCGGACAGAGAATGTTTTCTGTAAGCACCTGCAATGATATAATTTTAGGGCCACACAAAGAGATTCTTCCTTCCACAAACATAGTCAACAATCTTTCATTCTGCCTGTCTGTTTGTTTGTTTTTTAATCTTCTATTTCTTAGAACACTCTTCCTAGGTATTGTCTTAATTAATTCTTAGTATTTTGTGATTTAGTTATAAACCTCTGTGAGAATTTATTCTGAAAGGTAATATTGAAAATATCTACAATAATTAAGCAACAAATTATTAAGAACACTCTTCCTAGGTATTGTCTTAATTATTTTAATTCTTAGTATATTGTGACTTAGTTATAAACCTCTGTGAGAATTTATTCTGAAAGGTAATATTGAAAATATCTACAATAATTAAGCAACAAATTATTAAGAAATAAATTCAGAAGAAATAAATTCTATATTAATTTCTGAACAAATTGTCTGTAAAAGCTCAAATTAAAATATAACAACTTAGTTTTTAAGGTGCCACACAGTTTTTGTCTTTTTTCTATTTTTTGTTTTGTTTTTGCTTATAGCTAAATGTCACTAACTACAAACAGAATAATATTAATACTAACTGTAAAAGCTCAAATTAAAATATAATAAGTTAGTTTTTAAGGTGCCACACAGTTTTTGTCATTTTTTCTATTTTTTTTTTGTTTTGTTTCTGCCTATAGCTAAATGTCACTAACTACAAACAGAATAATATTAATACTAATACAAATATGGTACTTTAAGATGTTAAAAATTAAATAATGAAACAATTTTAAATGGAGGAGACCTATGTTTTTCATCATTCCATTGGTTTACTTATATTTTAGAGAACACAGTTTAAATTTAGACTAAAGGAGAATTCCATAACATGTTAAACATGATGGTTCCCATAATGGTTCCCATAATATAAATAAGAATAAATATGGATAAATAAGAATAAGGAAGGGTATCAGTTTGAAAAGTTACTGTTAAGTGTACTTATTAGTTGGCTGTTCTTCCTTCTTGAGGTCACTGTTGCCCTAATGAGCTACAATGGATGCTAAAATTGTCTTATGTAATAGGACGAAATACTATTTTAAAATGCCACCACAGAAATGAATTACACATTTTGCAATATATGGTCTTATCAAGTTTCAGTAATTTAATTTTGTAGATTTTTCTGAATTTCAGTTTTACAATTTAAAGTGGGTCTGATAAGTAATTTTGTTTTTGTTTTTTTGTTTCGATCACAGTGAGTCCATCTAATACTGTCAAAATATGGCAGTATGGAGCCCATTGTAGCGAGGAGTTACCTATCAAATGAGCTAGGGCTTTCTGATTCACTCATACCTGGACACGCTACAAATTATGTCTCCACTATTTTGCAAAAATGTGTGGTGCTGGCTTAAAGGCAAACCACACAGGAGTGGGATCCATACAACAATCTGATACAAATGAAGTGGCAATTATGTGGCACTAATGGCACATGTGTAGAGACAGTACCAGCTGGACCCAATGTGGGAACTGTACTACAGAACATGGCACTTAAATAGGGGTGCATTCTTTATTAATTTCAAAGACACTGCACTTTGTTTAAGTGTGCAGGAAGATGCTATACTTTACTGAGTCCTATACCTTACAAGAGTGATTTTTTTGACAAGTATCCAACTGTTTCTAATAGTTTATTTTCTCCATCTGCCAGATCTTGACTAATGATCTTGTCTTTTACCTTTAAAAAAAAAACAACTGAGATATTTCCTACCCTCTTAACGATGGAATCAGGAAAAAAAATAGTGTAGGTGACACATCTATGACTGCAGACTAAATGGGCACAAGTAAAATAATGTCCAATACCTCTATGAGTAACAACTGCAAGCTCGTTAGTTCTTTCTATCTGCTCAGCATTTCTTGGCCGTCTTCTTGTACTTTGGGTATCTGCTGATTGAAGGGAGAGGGCTTCCTTGGAAGTGATGAGTTCCATATCTGATTTTCTGAGATTCACAGCTTGCACTTGCTGCTCTTCGGAAACGCTATGGCTGGTGACAGTAACATCAGCAGTTGTGCTAGCAACAGTAATATCACCAGCGGTAGTCGCAATATCATCCTTTAACTCACCAGTGGAGGCAGTTTGGGTCAAAGTGGTAGAAGAACCTGTGGGACACACAGTAGCACTGGATGCTAACTTTTTTTTCTTTGGAATTGTGTAATTTTTTTTCTGCTCAATTTCATCAGATAAAATCTCCGCATTAAAGACAACTGACTTGACAAGAGGCAATTCAATAGTTGTTTGTTCAAATAAAACCTGCCGTACTCGCTAAACACATTTGCACATCACTAAACATAAAGTACCTACACTATAGGACTCACAAAAGACATTTGAACTTAAAACGTGACAACAAGGATAGGACACAATATTGATTAGTGGCATCAAGAGGTCATTAAGAACTTGGCCTTTTATCAATCACTGCCAAAGTCATCTGAAAACGTCATGTTTTACAAAAAGGCTATTTAAGTACGTACACATGGATATAAGCCAATATGCTACATAAAAGTCATAAATGTTTTAACAACAATAAAGAATACTATTGTGGATTTGTGTTTCTTTACTGAATGGCATGTACTTTTGTTGTTGTTGGGGCTTTTTTTAAAAAACAAAATTATTGTTATCCTTTAGCTGTTACATTTTCCCTTTCACCAAGATGCTTATAGTATTATGGGTATGATCCTTCCTTTGGCTGCTACAATGACCTGTGTATGGAGGTATCTCCTCAGAGCTCAGTGATGCTCTGTCTGTTTGTTCCACCTCTTAGAGGTGCATGCTGAGGGTTAAGAGAACATAAGATTCTGAGAATTCGTACAAATATCCCAAAGCAAGAGGCATTCCATGTTATGACAACACTGTTTCTCCTAAGTTAAGAACCAGAATAGAGGAATAAAGGCTGATTTGATGAAAACAAACTTCAGGATAAGTTAATGTGATATATAGGATCTATATTCTATTTATGAGATAGGACCATCTGCTCATTCTTCTTTCAAACTGTTTCTTCCCCCAGAAACTGGAATTGCTTAAGGGTTTGGGAAAATACAAACTTCAGAAAAAAGAGAGACACCATGATCATGGAAGTAGTTTTCTCATGATGAGGCTCATCCATTCCACTCTAGTTCTGTGACTTTAGGAAACTAAACTGCTTAATTAAATATGATGGATAACTAGATCTCTGTGCAGAAATTTCAGTATCTATATGTAAAATGCTGACCCCATGTAGTATATGGCACATTTCTAAGTGGGAATATATAGTTCAAATGTTTTATATTTTTAAAATTCAATTCCAGCTAAACCTGAATGGAATCAGGGTTTTTGTTGTAAGCATATTAAGAACTACTACAAATAAGAAGCTTAAGTAAAAGGAAAGTTGGAGTAAAGATATATCTTCTGTGGATAAAGGTTGTCTCTGCTCAATATTCAAGGCTGTTTGCTTTTCCCTACCCCATTCAACATTGTTATCCAATCACCTACAGGTGAAGCAGGGTGTGGGGAGATAATGGCTTCAAGGAGATCTGTCCTATCTGGGAAAGCTGTATATGCTTAAATAATTGCTTCTATAAGTGAAGGCTGTAGAAACTGAAAGCTGTAGGGACTTCTTGTGAATCTGGTTCATATATGTATCTATCTAACCTGTGTTTTTTCCCTAACCAAGTAGGTTCTGAACTCTTGGACTGTGTTTCCTCAGGACTAGATAGTGATTAAATTGGAATGATGAGTATTAAATTAGTGGACTAACACTAGAAGACCCAGGCATTGGTCTGAGAGGGCTAACTAAATCCAGACCTTAAAGTAAGGTTGTAGATCAGACAGTATAATGATAAACATATATTTAAAATCAGAAAAAGAAGCTGGAACTCTACTCTGGACAGGAAAAACAAACAAATCAGAAAAAGAAGCTGGAACTCTACTCTGGATAGTTCTCCTAGGAAAAACAAATAAAACACACACAAAAAAAACCCCTGTATCTAACACCCAAAAACACACACACGCAAAAAAACCACAAAACCCCTGCATCTAACACCCAGACAAGACGTCTCCCTATCCTGGCCAAAGAAAGCAGGAATCTGAAGTCTCAGATGAGGAATACATGTGGGAAGTTGTGCAGAGGATAAATGAAAAATGGAAAAAAAAAGATTAAGCTTCCCAACTATTCCCTCTCCCTCAATTCAAGACTATTTTAGATTTCTTTGTTGAAGCTCTTTCTCTTTTTGGATTCTTGATTCAGGCAAGACAGAATGACATGCACGGATATGAATTTTACGCAACTGACAAAATCTTCAATCATTCTTCCTGGGTTCTGGCAACAGTTCCTATATTAAGCCTAGAAATGTGAAGATCTTTACTCCAAGAGGATTTACATATCTCATAACACAGCAACACTGTCTCCCAATAACTTTGATATTTCAGTATTTCTTACTAGTACTACTACGATAGTTGAACCTCCTTCCTGCTACTAGCTGCACTCCCTATTGGCTCCTTCTGTCCTTTTTCTAGAAGGAACTCTGGAATCTTTATTTTTGACACTACGTCACATACAGTAGGAGGTAAACATCTAATTCACTGCACATCCTAGAAGTTCAAGTGCAAGGATAATCTCTCTCCCAACTCTGAATATTATTTCTTCTGTTTTACAACAGAACCATCATCACAAGATCTGAGTATCCAGTACTGAAACATGAAATGAAGTTTGAACAAGCATTCTCAAAATGTTTCCCAATCTCATCATGGAAATGAGGAATGCTTGTCCTCAAGGACCTCTAGGCTCAGTTCAACATGCTCTTCCTCAATGTGTCTGCTGCTTAATGCATAGTTAGGCCCTAAAAGCTAACTAAATGCCCCACATATAACAAAATCACAGTTCGTTAAAAATGATGCTCTTGAAATGATATTTGGAATGTAGAGAACAAAGAAAGCAAAACACAGAGTGCAATATGATAGCAGATTCCTTTGAAGTTCTGTAACCTATTTTTCCCCTAAGTTATTTAACTGGTCATTTTTAGAAACAACTGTTCCAGTGTTGTATTCTCGAAGGCTTTCACATCCGGGATCTGATGGTTGTTGTGGGTTTTTCAGGTTCTTTGGCCATGTTCTGAAGGTTGTTCTTCCTGACGTTTCACCAGTCTCTGTGGCCAACATCTTCAGAGGACTGGAGTTGGAACTCTGTCCATGCTCTGTTGCTGTTTGTTGGATAGTTGAATATTTATAGCCATGGGAACAGCTTTTTCTCTTTTTTTTCAGGAGATAGGGTGATCTCCCTATCTCCTGATGCAACAGACCATGGACAGAGTACTTACTCCAGTCCTCTGAAGATGCCAGCCACAGAGACTGGTGAAACATCAGGAAGAACAACCTTCAGAACACAGCCAAAGAACCCGAAAAACCCCCAACAACCAACTTTTCCAATATTCTTTGAAAAGTCCCACCCAAAATGTTCCAATATTCTTCTAAATATCATGTTTGTCTCAGCTTTGCACCAACTATGCTTACTCACAGCTTTGAATACTATGTTTGAGAAAACAATTAGTCAGGATTTAACAACTAGTGACCTACCAAACTGAACACAGCTATTAATGGTGGCCTGACTGGGGCTGGAAGACCTTCAGTACATATCACCTCCTTGTATTCAATCAGACAGAGATTATTCACAATGCCTGCTATCCGACTGATTGAATTGAAGAGGCTGGATATTTAACTTGAACCTTCTGCATGTAAACCATGTGGCCCATCTTCACCTAATGAGCCACATTCACTCACTCACTTCTTCAATTTATATACTGCCCAATTAGTGAATTCATATTACTCTGGATTCTGTACAAGCAAGCAAAACCCCATGACCCCCACATTCAATTTAGTGATCCTTGTTGCAAAAATCAGAATTAACAAGCATTGATGTGGTCCGCTTAGCTAATACTTTAAGTTCTTAGAATGATTTTGATCATTTATTATTTCCCCAGTTGTTCCTAGGGTAATCTTAATGTTAATTGAGCAACTCAAACCAGGCAAAGTTCCTGGAACTGATTATATTCCACCTGACTTAATAAAGTCCAACTCTGACTTGTGGGCTCCAGTATTAACCACTTTATTCCCTTGGATTGATGAAACAGCATGTTTTCCTGAGGACTGGAGCCTAGCCATCATTGTCCCAATTTACAAATGAGGAAATAGAGGGGACCCATTTAACTATCAACCAATAAGCCTATTAAACACCATTAGCAAGCTATATGCAAGGCATTTATTGGGTAAATTACAAGACTAGCTGCTGGAGGACAATATACGTGCAGAGGAACAAGCGGGATTTAGGCGGACAAGATCAACCATAAATCAGGGTCTTATTTTATACCACCTGGCATGTAAATACTCCTCCCATAAAGGCTGTGCCTTATATGCAGCCTTTATAGACTACCTGACCCCATACCAAGAGAAAACCTGTGGTCTAAATTCAAGACCACAAGTATTAATAAACGGCTTCTCCTGCTGATGTGGCAACTTCATGAAAATACACACTTGTGGGTTCTATGCAACTCAGTTGCCAAGCCCCTGTGATTAATGGAGTAAGACAAGGATGCATGCTAGCCACCACTTTGTTTAATTTCCATATCAATGCCTTAGTTGTAAACTTAAGTAACCCCAACTTTCATCAACCTAAGCTTGCCTCTCACCCAATTTCGTTACTACTTTATGCTGATGATGCCGTTTTATTGTCAACATTGTGTGTAGGCTTTAGAAGACTTCTGAGAACCTTCTCTCCTACTGTAATAAAGACTAATAATAACTAATAATCAACTATTCCAATACCAAGATTATGGTGGTTAATAGAAGGTGAATAAAGCATAAATGGTCTCTAAATGGACACCCTAAAGAGCTAGTATCATGCTATAAATATCTTGGCATAGTCTTCCACTCATCCGGATTCTGGCTTACTCATGTAAACCATGCAGCAATGAGTGTCCAGAAAAATACCGTGGCACTAATCAGATTTTTCCATATTGATGGGGGTAAACATGTTCCATCGGCAATACAACTTTTTAAGACTAGGATTATTTCACAAATGCTTTATGGCTCTCAACTGTTCACCTACGCTAATTTACAACCTCTGGAGATTTTT